GTCCCTCGGCCCTTAAAGGGGAAAGGTTGCCTACCCCTGGTATAGGAGCTCTGTCCTCATTTCCATGTGTCACAAGGGCAGGGCACCAAAATAAATGCCAACTCAAACTCTTAGTATATTAACAAAATGTCTTACAGACTCAAATGTAGTATGTTATAATAAAATAAATTTTTGTGGAAAAGAAGAAATGCCTATTTCCTGAATTTTGACCTGTCCTCTCTACCCACCAACCGCTATATAAAACCTCCAGCACTATATAAAAAGCTATCAAGGAATTTAGAGAGATCAGGTCAAAATTCAGGAAATCTGTGTTTCTTCTTTTCTACATTTCTCCGTAAGATTTCTTCTGTAATCTCACACCAAGGATATTATAAGGGAAGGACTTTGGTCCAAAACACACTGAAGACATATTCCAGTTTGAGAACACTTTAACCGCCCTGGCTCAATGTTAGGGAATTCTGGGAATTGTAGTTTTGTGCGACAGTTAGCTTTCTCGGTCAGAAAGCTCTGGTGCCACAATAAATAACAATTCCCAAGATTCCCTAGCACTGAGCCAAGGTGGTTAAAGAGGCCTCAAACAGGATTACTCTGCAGTGTGTTTTGGGCCTTTGTTAAGAAATTGCAACAGCGATTATAACATCGCAGTACAACAAAAATTTGGTTTGTCGTAATACAGATTTTATTTGTAAGACATTTTCTTAATATGGTAAGAGTTAAGTTGACATTATTTTTGGCGCTTGTGATACTGTAACTGAGGTGGGCGCCGACTTTGTTTTTGGGGTTACTCATTTCCATGTAGCCATCCTGCTTAGCTGCACTTTGAGCTCACTGAAAACCCCAACCCCTATTGCTGATTTTATTGTCACAACAACCCTGCGAGGTAGTCTTGGGACAGAGAGCAGCCCTAGATGACCTACTAAAATCCACGGCCATTTGATGCTGGGTCTATCACAGGGGTAGGCAACCTTTCCCCTTTAAGGGCCGAGGGACTTCAGCTCCCAGAATCCCAGGAGCTATTGGCCAACATGGGACTATTGGCCAACATGGCTGAGGCTTCTGGGAGCTGAAGTCCCTCGGCCCTTAAAGGGGAAAGGTTGCCTACCCCTGCCCTAAATTAACCAAAGTCCAAAACACACTGCCAGAAATAATCCAGTTTGAGACCGCTTTAACTGCCCTGGCTCAGTGCTAGGGAATCTTGGGAATTGTAGTTTATTGTGGCACCAGAGCTCTCTCTGACAGAGAAGGCTAAATATCTCACAAAACTACAGTTCCCAGGATTCCCTAGAACTGAGCCAGGGCAGCTAATGCTGGGGAATTGTGGGAACTGTGAGACATTTAGCCTTCTCTGTCAGAGATAGCTGATAGATAGCTGATAGATAGTAGTTTTGTGAGACACAATCTTCTCTGTCAAAGAACTCTGGAACTACAACAAACTACAGTTCCCAGCATTCCCTAGCACTGAACCAGGGCAGTTAAAGCCATCTCATACTGGATCATTTCTGCAGTGTGTTTTGGACTTAAGTCACAACTTATTGCCATTGCATTCAGTGATATATGGGAATTACAATTTATGAGTACCATTAGTACAAAAAATACAAAATATTATAAGGATGCTGTGTGGTGTGTGGTTTATTGTGGCACCAGAGCTCTCTTTGCCAGGGAAGGCTAAATGTCTCACGGTTCCCAGCGTTCCCTAGCAATAAGTGTCCTGGCTCCGTGCTAGGGACTCTTGGGAATTATAGTTTACTGTGGCACCAGAGCTGTCTCTCTCTCTCTCTCTCAGATAGAGAAAGCCCAATGTCTCACAAACACTACAGTCCCCAGCATCCCCTGGCTCAGTGCTGGGGGCTCTTGGGAATTATAGTTTACTGTGGTACCAGAGCTCTCTCTCTCTCTCTCTCTGACAGAGAAAGCCCAATGCCTCACAAACACTACAGTCCCCAGCATCCCCTGGCTCAGTGCTGGGGGCTCTTGGGAATTATAGTTTACTGTGGTACCAGAGTTCTTCTCTCTGTGTATTTGTGACAGAGAAGGCCCAATGCCTCACAAACACGACAGTCCACAGCACCGAGCCAGGGCAGTTAAAGCGGTCTGAAAGTGGGTTATTTCTGGAGTGTGTCCAGGCCCTGAGGTAAACCCGTCTCCCTCCCTTTTTGTGGGGCTGAGGCAATGGCGGCCTGGGGCCTGGGCGGAGCTGGGCCGGGCTCTTCCCTCCCCTTCCTCCTCTCGTCAGCACTGAAAGGAGAAGGAGGAGGAGGAGGAGGAGAAGCGGCGGCCCTGCTGGGAGTCGCCCAGGCCCTCAGTGCCTCAGAAGAGGGCCACGACCGACGACGGAGCCCGCCCTCCTTCCCTCTCGCCCTCGCTCTCGGCCTGAGGAGCCCAGAGAGGATGGTTTTGCCGGACGAGGAGCGCACTGGAGGCGGCGGCGGCGGCGGAGGCAGGCTCTTCCGATCCCCGCCGGAGCTGGCCCGGGAGTCCCATGTCCCTTCCCTGGAAAAGTACCGGGAGCTTTACCGCCGCTCCGTGGAGGAGCCCCAGGGTGAGTCCCCAGGCAGGCAGGCCCTCAGCAAGGCACCGTCCTCCTTTCCCCGGACACGCCCTCCACTCCAGCCTCCTTCTCCCCCAGAAGCAATCCCAAAACGTCCTCCATTTTGAGCCCGACTAAGGAGCATAAATTTACATTTATGTTAGGGCTTTGAGCTTTGATTTTTCTGTCCAGGAGGAATCCCAAAACGTCCTCCATTTTATGAGCCTGACTAAAAAGCATGAACTTTACATTTATATTAGTGTTTTGAGCTTTTATTTTCTGTCCAGGAGGAACCTCATAATGTCCTCCATTTTGAGCCTGACTAAAAAGTGTGGGTTTACATTTATATTAGTGTTTTGAGCTTTTATTTTCTGTCCAGGAGGAATCCTAAAACGTCCTCCATTTTGAGCCTGACTAAAAAGCATGAACTTTACATTTATATTAGTGTTTTAAGCTTTTATTTTCTGTCCAGGAGGAATCCTAAGACGTCCTCCATTTTGAGCTTGACTAAGAAGCATGGCTTTACATTTATAGGACTGTTTTGAGCTTTTATTTTCTGTCCAGGAGGAATCCCAAAACGTCCTCCATTTTGAGCCTGAATAAAAAGTATGGGTTTATGCTTATATTAGTGTTTTGAGCTTTTATTTTCTGTCCAGGAGGAATCCCAGAATGTCCTCCAAGAAGCCTGCAGTTCATATCTCTAGGAGAGTTTCGAGCCTTCCTTTTGCTGGGCATGTCCTCCATTTTGTGTGAACGTCCTCCATTTTGCGGTGCCTTCTCCCTCAAGGTGACCAGATGTCCTCACCACGAAGGAGGACGATGAGGCACCGCAAAATGGAGGGCGTGCACGAAAAAAAAAAATGGAAGATATGACCAAAGTAAAAAGCTCAATGCACTCAGATAAATGTAAATCCATGCTTCTTGGTCCGGCTTAAAATGGAGGACATTCGGAATTCGTCCTGAACTGAAGAAGGCTGTAATGGAGGACATGTCAGGGGAATGGAGGATGGTGTCTAGTCACCCTACCTGTCCTCCATGGCAGTGAGGACATCTGGTCACCCTGCAGTTCAGACAGCCTCCAAGTCACAAACCTCCCAAGAGGTTTTGCAAAATAGGGGGGGGAGGTGGTGCAATATCTGGAAAAAATAGAATAAAAATAAAATAAAGTTGTGGCCCATATGTGTGTGTTTAAAGACAAGGGGCTTGTCTGGCTCCAGTTTTTGATCCTTCCTCCTCTTTGCTGTTCCATGTGCTCTTCCTGTAGCTTTTCCTCCATGTTGTTGTTGCTGTTGTTGTGTGCCTTCAAGTCCTTTCTGACTCTCGTGACAACACTATCATGGAGTTTTCTTGGCAAGTTTTCTTCACAGGGAGTTTACCGTCACTATCCTTGAGGCTGAGAGAGTGTGACTTGCCTAAGGTTGCCCAGTGAGTTTACATCAGGTGCGCTAAGGGACCTTCCTGGCATATTTTGTTCAGATGGGAGTTTGCCCTTGTGTTCCTCTGAGGCTGAGAGTGTATGTCTCACATAAGGTCACCCAGTGGGTTTCCATGGCTGATCAGGAATTCGAACCCTGCTCTCCAGTCTCCTAGTTCGATGCTCAAACGTTGCTCTCATGGCTTTTCCTCCAGCCCCCTTTCTCAGGGTAACAAGGCTGGTGCCACTTTTCTTGTCTATAAACACTCAAGGCGGACTGTGACTCTAGAGACCAGGGTTCAAATCCCTGCTCAAGCAGGGAAACTCACAGGGTGACCTTGGGAAAGTCACACTCTCTCAGCCTTGAGGGAGGCAATGGGAAACCCCTCTCTGAAGAAACCTGCCAAGAAAACCCTGTGATAAGTTTGCCTTAGGGTTGCCGTAAGTCAGAAATGACTTGAAGGCACACAGCAACATCGACAATAATCCTCTGAGACTGAGAGACTGTGACTTGCCCAGAGTCGCCCAGTGAGTTTCCATGACTGAGTGGGGATTTGAACCCTGGTCTCCAGAGTCCTAGTCCAACGCTCAAACCACTGCACCACGGTGGCTCTCCTGGCTTTCCTTCCAGCCCCCTTTCTTAGGGCAATAGGGCCGGTGCCCGTTTTCTTGTCTGTAAACACCCAAAGCAAGCCAGCAAGTGGTTTGAATCATGCAGGGCCTTGTATCCTATGTATTACCTCTAATACATACCTCTAATACACCTGGTTCTACCAGGTATAAAGTTGAGAATGCTGTATTTCTAACCTAGAAGGTTTGGGTATTAATTATGGCATAGGTGTCCCTCTGTGCCTACTAGGCAAAGGGATCTTGTAGCTCCTTTGAGACTCGGGTCCAAAACACACTGCAGAAATAATCCACTTTGAGACCACTTTAACTGCCCTGGCTCAGTGCTAGGGAATTCGGGGAATTGTAGTTTATTGTGGCATCAGAGCTCTCTGATAGAGAAGGCTCAATGTCTCACAAAATTACATTTCTCAGATTCCCTAGCATTGAGCCAGGGCAATTAAAGCGGTTTCAAACTGGATTATTTCTGCAGTGTGTTTTGGACCTCACTGTAAGAAAGAAGCTAGTAGTGTGAGCTTTTGTAGACTTGAGCCTACAGCATTCATCTGAGGCGATTAAAGTGGTCTCAAACTGGATTATTTCTGCAGTGTGCTTTGGACACGAGTCTCAAAGGTGCTACAAGATCCCTTTGCAGACTGATTTTCCAGACTGACACAGCTACTGTATATATATGCCTTTGACTTCTCTCCCTGCTAGGATTACTGTTGCTGGTGGGTGTGTAGAGGGAAGCCCTTGTCAGTTCCACAATCTCAAGTCTTTTTGAAGTTTTAACCCTGGGCATCCTATATGTCAAAATACAGGGTAGGTTCCTCTTCGATTGTTTGCTTGCAAATCTAAGTGTAAACCAAGCAGTGCGTCTGAGGACCTGTTGAGAGTCCAGGCCAGGGATAGGCAACTTTTTTGAGCTGGGGGCCGGGTTGCTGTCCCTCAGACAATTGGGGGGCCGAAGCACCCAAAATGAATGAATGAATGAATGAATGAATGAATAAATATTTTTTAACAAAATTTAAAAATATGCATGCACACTCTCTCAGCCCCAGAAAAGCCATGGCAAACCCCCTGTGGAGATTTTGCCAAGAAACCCCAGAGAACAAGTAATAACAACAATAATCAATATCATCATGGCGGGGGGCGGCGGCAGGACCAGCCTGGGGCCGGTCAAAGGCCTCGGGGGGCCGCATCTGGCCCCCGGGACTTAGGTTGCCTACTCCTGGTCCAGGCGCTCCAGCTACTGTGTGACCAGAGAGCTGTACATTTGAAAGCTGCCAGGCTATGCACATGAAGGTTTTTCTAGTAGATTTCTAGACATTTCCTACAGCTTTTTTTGGACCATGCTAAACCACAGATACTTACCTGAATTTACAATGAAACGTAAAATCATTTTCTCTCTTTTGTGTGTCTGTGTGTTTGCTTTTCCAAATATTGATGTGCAGCACATATGCCAAGAGCACCCCCAAGAACTGATCAGTGTTCAGAGCTTTGTCTATGGAAGTAACATTTATGGACAATGGAAGAATATAGTAACATTCTTGCAGTTCTCTACCAGTTTGGGATATTCTGGGAAACCCATAGTATGTTCTGTAGATTCTAGAACAGTTGTCTTTTGTTAGATTTTTGTCAGCATTTTTTATTTACAGCTTTTACTGTATTCCCCACTTTATAACTGGAAAAGCTCTGAGAGTGGCTTATATACTGACAAAAGGTGGCTCCTGTCCACAGGTTTACAATCTAAAACAAGATTTGTCAACTTGCGGCCCTCCAAATGTTAGACACCAGCTCCCATTATCCCATGCCACTGGCTGTGTTGGTTGTTGCAGTCTAGCAACGTCTAGTTGCCTGCTCTAATTTAAAAGACAGGTAACAATTTTAAAAAAAGATGGGGGGGGGAAAGAAAGAACACCAAGCATCAGGTATAAGCTTTTAATGTAAATAGGTTCACCAGCTAGGTGGAATAGCTGCTAGGTGGCAATTTGTGAGAGGTAAAGGCTAATGAAGGTACCTTATTTTCCTGCGTATAAGACTGCTTTTTAATCTGCAAAATCTGTGGTTAAAGTGGGGGGTCGTCTTATACGCTGGGTATAAGGATAAGGAGGATAGAGGTGTTAAAACTCTATATTTTGACTGGAAAAATGGGGGGTCGTCTTATACGCCGGAAAATACGGTAGCTTCTTGGAGGGCTAATGGTTGCTCCTGCTTCTTTTCTCAGTCGTGAGTCAGATTAGTGAGCAACAATTTCTGGGTTCCATTGGCAGCTTCAGAACTGGCACAGAGCATTGACTTGGATCTGTGGGACTCTCATGGTGTTGTCTAGGGATTGGAATACCGTATTTTCCTTTGTATAAGACAAGTTTCTAAGCAGGAAAAGCTGGAGCTAAAGCTGGGGG